TGGAATAGCTCAATATTCCAGTTTTTCTAATGGTAGTCCAAATAAATTCGAAAAGCTGGGAAAGGAGATTCTCGAGAAATCCTTGGTAAAAAAAATAGCGAAACAGCGAAATTTGCACTGCTAATTCTCACACAGTGCGCCATGTATTCGGCCTCGATTTATAGGAGCGAGGACCACAAGGTGGGATTCGCTCCATACACCGGCAGCATTTTCCAATATGGTAGACATGACCTTGTCATTGTAAGCCCTCTACACAAATTGTTGGCCTCGTCGTTACTACCCCACCTTAATAAGCCCTCTATGGGAACCATATCTGATACAGTATCCTTCAACAGGTAGCGGCTGGCGCTGCTCTTAACGGTTTGAAACGAGTACCGTGGCTACCCAGACTGGAGAGGGATACCTATATCACCTAAACTGAAATGGGGGAATGACACACCGCTTTCCTCACAGATAAGCTATCACTCCTCACAGATAGGCTTTTGCAAAGCGAGAAAAGGATTGAGAGCAGAATATATGTGCTGTGAGTCAGAAAATGCTTAGTATTAACAGTGAAAATGAAGCTGAGATGCCATTCTTCCTCTTCCCAGTGATATGGAGCCTAGATGAGGAGCACGTAAGGATGTTGAGCGTTGACTACCCCATGTGGCGGAGTAATGTTTTCACAAGGGAACCCCAACAGGTCGATCCGGCCATTTGCAATGAGATGTACATATATGGACGTGTCTTGAGCCGCTGAATCCAAATCTGCCCTCGGAATTTGCGGAACGATTCTCTGAAGGGAGTTACGGACCATTTAATCTTGCTCTGTCAGCACAAATCGGGAACGATAACTGCGGCAGGCGGCCGATGGCGGATTGCGAAAATTCGTATTGTTTCTATCATTTTGTGGAAGGATACCACATGTGCTCTTGAACCGTAAGATCCTCATTTCTTGATGCAAGCTCTAGAAACGGTTATCCTCATAATAAAAGTTTTCAAAAGGAACCAGAAATGGAGAATCGGCCGCCTTCCATTGTCAAATAATTAAAGAACTAGGTAAATTGGCCAAACAGAAGTGTTTTAGGGACTCATATGAAGTGTTCTAAACAAAAGCAGAAATTTCCAAGAGTCAAGGGCTCCAACATGCGACATCGCGTCTCGGAAGCAGTGCGCTTATCCACTACTCCATAGATTAAATGGTCCGTAACTCCCTTCAGAGAATCGTTCCGCAAATTCGGAGGGCAGATTTGGATTCAGCGGCTCAAGACACGTCCACATATGTACATCTCATTGCAAATGGCCGGATCGACCTGTTGGGGTTCCCTTGTCAGTAGGTGGGCACCTGAAATGCTTCAACAAAGGTTGTTACCAGCGAAATACTTCTCGGCGAGGCGAAGCGTTTGCTTTCCATACGAGTTGTCTGGCAATAAGTCGTTCGGTTCAAGTCCGAGTTTCACCTCAGTGCAACCCCAAATCGCTACACCCTGAAATAATTCTACTGTTATGAAAAAACATAAAATTATGGAGAAATATCAGAACTCACCAGATAGACGAGGAAAGAAATGATAATAAGCACGCGTATAAAAGGGTTTAAAAGCATGTCCGAATAAGTGGTGCGAAAGAACTGCGACAGAAAATGATTTTTTTCGAAACTTCGGTCTTCACAAGCACTTTTCGAGCCACCTGAATCTCTTCATTTTTGCAATCGTAGTTATAGTTCTACACCAATATCGAACCTTTTCTGATCTTTCTGAATGTAATGCAGTTTCTGTTATCCATTTCGCGACGACTCGTGTAAACCATAATTCCAGCGAAGAACGTGAGCTGATAGACGTAAGGTGAACATCACGGCTGTCACCGCATATGCACAAAACATCTGAATCAGAGAATATATGTCCCCAGCAGAGCCCATGGTTCAGCTCCACCACTTAGAATTCTGAAAAAAAGCTCACCTGCACACTTGGAAAAGGTGTCGCACAACCAACTGCAAATGAAATAAAGTCCGTGAGAGATGTGACTGTGATGGAGACGCCAGCGTCAGCGAAATGTTTCCTCCATACGCTTTTGGAAGCGATAGGTGAGTAGGAGATGACCTCCACGCTGAGAGTAGTATGAATACGTTGTCCACACCGACCGCTGAAATCGTACCAGTGTTATGTGAAAACAGAAGGAGCGAATATCGGAGAGCCATCATCTTGGGATGAGAATGTCCCGAGCTATTCCAACTATAAAAGACCATTTAGGCGCCGATTCTAGCATGCGATTCGAACGGATTTCTTAATCACTCGGTAACCAGTGCAGTTCTTACAAAGGCAGTTTTTGGAGTTCTACTGAGTCGGCAGGAAAGTTGCGTTGGCATATAACTTATAAATATACAATCTTCTCCTATGCTTCCTATAGACCCACCGCACAGGGACTGGTACTTTTCTCTTATGCCTTCTAAAACTACCG